TGCTTTAAGTTGGGCCAAAGTCTTCTCGGCTGTCATAAACTAAGTGCTATTGACTCATGAGAGCTGAAGCCACTGTTTTGAATGCAATTTGAGATTCTGTGGAACCCTACAGCCTTTCATTGTCTTCTTGTCCTTCTGCCATTATCAGTTTGTAAATGTCCCAAAATCTAGGGTGAACATGGGCATGCAGACTCTAAGGCAATATATTTCTTTGCTGCCTACCACCAGGTTGCTTCTAATGTATGGTGGCACTGCAAATTAATGACTTCCAAAAGGTTCTATCATCAACAGAACTGGTCAGGTCTTGAAAACTCAAGGCTGTGCTTCCTTTATTGAATCTATCTTTTTTCCCCCACTGCCGTCCTCTTTTCCCAGATGGCATCATTGTCTTTTCTAGTGGATATTGTTTTCTCATAATATGTCCAAAATATGATACCATCAGTTCAGCTTGTATATTTGCTTGTTTATTCACTTACTTATTTTAATTTTTAGTGAGAGTTTGGGCTTGTTTTGAGGAATTAGAGGTTAAATCAGCAGAAAATAATTGATAGTTATAGTGGTGATGGGGAAGGAAATTCCCCAAGGACATCTACTGGGTAGTTGAAACTTACACTTTCATAGACATCAGCTGTGAAACTCAAACTAACTCTTATTTGTTGCTAATACTGTGCAAAAGAAGGCAATGATAAACCACTTCTGAATATTTTGCATTTCAAAAACCCTATTATGGCACAATTCAATGTGCTCTTCAGAATCCAGTTCATCAAGGCATAAGGAAAGGTTGTGGCATTGTAAATATGCCAGGCATTGCACATTGGCAACAAAGACTGTGCAAGGTGATTGCGCAATCAGTTATGTGATTCCCATTTGACTGATTACACAATGTGCTGGTGGAAGTGCTTCTTCATGGATAGCACTTTGGACTTGGTGCCATTATAACTACGGCAGGCATCACACTGAGTTACACCTGCTTAACTACACAACTGTATGTCAGCCACTGTTTCAAAATGGAGTTAGTAGACTGAATGAATTAGTGGATGTTTAAAAATATTTAATGTAAATCCCAAACTTTCAGTCCAAAAAAAAGTAGATGGGATGGTTAACAATAACATTTTGTTTCCAAGTTGTGTTTTAATTAAAACATATTAGATTACTCATAGCTTTCACAGTTGCAGCTGCATACCTTTAGAAACACCATCCCAAGGTTTACATGCGGCTACATCAATGATGGCTGGAAAAGGTATGGTACTGTTTTTTAAATACCATACCCATTAGTACAAAGCACTATTCTGCCCAGCTATATTTGCATTTTCTGAAGGCACATTTATTCCTGTCTGCATTTGGTGCTTAAAAATGTTTGTAATCAGGGTGCAATCTTGAGTGCACCTTGACAGGTGGGTAAACATCTCTTAAATAGGTAAAAAAAATCAATTACAGTGAAATTGACTCAGTTACATCCTCTGCTCCTTTAGATATGTTTCGTAGCTGCTGTTAATGTGATTAGGCAACACATGGATTTCTATGCCCTTATCCATGCCACCTGGCTGATGTACCTGTTGAGCTGCCGTCGGCGGAAAGCAATAGCTGAAGTTTGGCCTAAATACTGCTGTTTCCTTGCCAGCTTGATGGCTTTTCAATATCTGCTTTGCCTTGGTCTCCCACCTGCCCTGTGCCAAGGTAAATGCAGCCCTATGTTCTGTGTAAAGTGGGGACAAGTTCATGTGGGGTGGATCACCAGGCAATAAAGGACCCACAGAAAGCAGGCTAAGCAAAAGCCTGAGTGTGCCAAACGGTAGGTTTCCAAAATTCGGCTTCCTGACTAGTCCCTTTGAATCAAATAAGTCCAGACAGAAAGCTCAAAAATTAGTTTAAGGTGATTTGTGTAATGCAGATAATCTCTTTGCTGACAGATTATCCATGGAGAACGTCTCATTGGCCACTCCATTCAAATCTGATTAAATGGCTTTATCTCCCTGATTTTTCCAAGAGGCCTGATGCTAATTTCCTCTTGTGTAAGTATAATCTGTATAGTATGGCATCTGCTTAACATATGTAAGTAGCGGTTTCTTACTTTTAGAGGAAGAGGTGCCAAAATTATTGAAATTTATACCAAGGTGTTAGTCTGTAGCAGCAAAAACACCAGAATCTTGCAAGCATCTTAAAAACGGACAAGTTTTATTTGCCATAAACTCTCATGGACTACAGTCCACCATTTGTATTTGATGAAGAAAGCTGCAGTTTTAAGGATGTAATTAATACATTTTTGCCGCCATTGATTCAAGTTGGCCTGCTTAATCAATGGAGTTGACTCTCTAAATCCCCATTGGTTCAGTGGGCCTACTCTAGTGTAATTTATTATGCTAAGCACCAGGATTTGGGCCGATGTGCTGTAAGTTAAATTCATATGTATGTATGTATGTATGTATGTATGTATGTATGTATGAATGAATGAATGAATGTATATATATGTATTTTTTAAGAATTTAATTTACAGCATATCGGCCCAAATCCAGAAGAGAGAGATAAGCAAATAACCTTTTTTCATCTATCTCCTTTCTTATGGCAGATGATTTCCTGCTTCTGCTTCTTGCTTCCCTCCAGTGGCAAGTATTTGAGGATGAGAATAAGCCTGTTGTGAGAATGAAAGCTGGAGATAATGTAGAGATCAGTCGAAGCTTAGACCCAGTGGGCCTCAATGAGTACAGTCCAGTGCCAAACTTTATCCACTGCAGGTAAAACCCAAATGTAGGAGAGAGGTGTGTGTGTGTGTGTGTGTGTGTGTGTGTGTGTGTGTGCGTGTGCGTGTGCGTGTGCGTGCTCAGAGCAGAGGTATTTAGTTCTGAGGACACATCTACTGAAGGCATTGAGATCCACCATAATAGGAAAACTTATAAGCCAGTAATTTAACATTTCATATTTTATTTCATTTATTTTTTTTAATGTCCCATTTTTGGTTTTTGGGGCATGGGTGGAAAGATATATTTAGATCATTATTCCCATCATTCCTGACCATCGGCCATGAGAGCTGGAACCCAACACAATCTGGAGGGGCACCTGTTCTCTCCATCCCATTTTAAAACTTAAAGTGATTTTGGAAAGTGAAAGTTAAAATGTTTCCTGTAATGTTGAATTTCACCATCTGTCAACATCTGGTGCAGAAGAGAAATCTAGAGTCCACGGTCCCCGTGGAACTTTCCAAGGCTTATGTCAACCTTGTGGCTATCATTCTGCTCTCCCCGATGCTTCTGAGAATCATCCACAGTGCAGCAATGTGCCCTCCTGGGGACGTCCCTGCGATGTCTGCTGCTCACAGAGGCAATTATTGTATCAAGATAACCAGAATTTTGCCCTGCAGATGTTCTTGGACTATAGCTTTCTGCAATTCACTGTGCTGGCTAGGGTTGCTTGGGGTTGCAGTCCAGCTCCATCTTGGAGGGGAGGGACTTTGCCCACCCCCAAACTAGACCACATCACATTTGAATAGGACTTATGGTAGGCCACTATTTCAGATTAATGAGTCACATACTCCATTCGTTTTTAATTGTGTTCCTCTGTGGCCATAGGCTTTTCCAATGATTTTCCCATTATTTCCTCTCTGTACAGATCTTATCTGGACATGGCAAAAGTGATTATGTTTAGATACCACTTCTGGTTTGCCCTTTGTCTGATATTTATGACCGGAACCTCTAGGATCAGCATCTTCTGTGTGGGCTACCTTGTGGCTTGCTTCTACTTCATGCTTTTTGGAGGAAGCCTTCAGCTGAAGCCTGTCAAAGATATCCTCAGACTGTGGGATTGTTTGATTGCATACACAGCTTTGGTTATAGCCATGAAGAATCTCCTTGCTGTATGTATTGGACTGTATGTTAATCCAGGTTGTAAAGGCTGGGCAAAAATATCCCCCTCAATAGCTAGAACTAGTGTGGATATAATAAGCTAGGCAACTGGAGCACCTAGCTATACTTTCAGCAGTGATATGAGAAATGCAGAATCCTGTTAAACTTGACACCCACCAATTCTGAAAGCTACTGTTATGTAGGCTACTCTTTGAATCCTTCCATTAACATGGCCACTGGCTTGTGGAGTGGGAATTCTGAGAGCTGTAATCTGAAAACAGTAAGGATTCCAAGTTCTGAACCTCAGCAATAAAGCTCATGAAAGGATTCTGGGCATTATAACCATCAAAGAAAGTAACTTTTTAGCGCTATGATCTTAGTGATATAGCATAGAAGGTTCCAAGATGCATTTCTGCGGTACGGCTATGAAAAACTACTATCTACAACCCTGGAGGCTCCTGATACTCTGTGTAAATAGTACTGATCTTGGTAGATCACTAGTTCGGCTCAGGATAAGGCAGATTCCTGCATACAGTCAGTATCCTGCCATATTAGTCTCCTCACCTTATTTCCCCAGGCACTGGAAACTGTCAGAATGGGCAATCACCATGTCTATTTTTGGCCATTCTCAGGCCTTATGCAACATGTAGCAGGTGGTGCCATCAAAGCAGTCAGTCCTTGCACTGTCTAGTTAGTTAATCCTTTGGCATTGTGCATATATACAATACACCCTCTTTTTTAGCTGGTAGCACACAGTGCTTGACTGTGTTTGGGTTTCTCTTCACACGTGCGTCGTTTGGATGAACAGTATGTTCAGCAAATGACAGAACTCCAGAAGTGGCCTTCTGAAAAGTTTAGGAGCCTGTTCGTAGCACCCATTCAGGCAATACATTTGCATGTTTCTTTAGCTGTGGAGTCTTGTGCAAGAATCATGTCCAGTTTCATCTGGGACATCACTGCCAGCTCATTGTATTGCTTTCAAAATGCCACACTAGAGGTTAAGAGAGAAACATTTGATTCTGCTGAACGGTTTCCTCCTCTCCCAACTTTGTTTACAGATTGGACCATGCTCATGTCCAGTTTCATCTGGGACATCACTGTATTGTTTTCAAAATACCACACTAGAGCTTAAGAGAGAAACATTTGATTCTGCTGAATGGTTTCCTCCTCTCCCAACTTTCTTCACAGATTGGACCATGTGCTTACCTTAGTCAATTACAAAGAAACCATTGTTGGCTGATTCAGATGTTTGGCATGTTCTGCACAATACCAGGATATGATGTGGGTAAGTAGGAAGCCGTATTGACAGAGAGGGTCCATACAGTGACCCATATTGCAAATGTTTTTATTAAGAATCGCAAATGCTTTCTAACTTTCATATGATGCAAACACTCTGTTTACTCAAAACTAAATACTATTTTCCTAGTATAATGTCTTTCATACATCAGGAAAAAATCAGGTGAAGCTCCATGACATGCTACTTGCTCCTCTGTTGTAGCCATAGCAGAGAGCTGTGTGTAGGATTGGGTAAGATTTAGTTCCTAATAGTTTTTCTAAAAATCAGAGCTCACCCAAATCTGCTAATTTCTTCTCTTTTGGAATGGGGGAAAAGCATTAAAGTAAGTCCTATTGAAATAAAGAAATTAGTCTGATTCAGTTTGCCAGTCAGGGTGATGTGCCACATGAGTTGGAAGGGCAGAATGAGGAAGCATGACTTCTTCCTTCTCCTCTTGAAAGCAAACTTGTGAATCTACAGGTTCTGCTACTATGTTTTGGGTTATACTCTGTAGATTTGGGAAATGTAGCCAGAAAACAAAAATTTTGATCTACGATTGGGAGACTTATGATTATATAAACGTACATGTCTGTAATTGTAGTCCCAGACATTTCCAACAGAAAGTGATTTTGTTGTTGTTGAAGCTTGCTTAAGAAAGAGCCATGCTGCTTATTTGCCACATTTCCAGTGAACTTCCAAACCTGTTCAGGCATTCTTAACCATGTGGAAAGCTCATGTGAAGAGAAACACACTTTAGCCCTTTCTTCCCATTCCTAGGTTGTGTTGCCCTTCTCTTCAAGAGGGGCAACAATTCTGGACAGTTTCGTCTATCTATGTCCACTCTGCAAAAACCGAAACCTTGATTTTTTTCCAAGATCCCTGATTAGCCTTCACATGTAGGATGTGAACAGGGGTGATGAGTGAGCAGATGGGGCTACTCTCTCCTCTTCCTGTGAACATTTTAACACCCCTGCACTCACGGATAGGTGGGGCACTTGCTCGTGCATGCATGGGTGGAGGGAGCATGCTCACAGGTGGACGGGTTGCACTTGCATGCATGTGTGTGGGCACCCGTGTGTGTGTGTGGGGGGGGGCATTGTGTGTGTGTGTGCCATGCATGCATATGGGCATGGGGGAGAGTGCATGCGGGGGGGGGAGGAGAGATCTGTCCAGCCCAGCCCTGCTAAGGCCACGGCTCCGTCCGGGCCACAGACCGGGGGTTGGAGACCCCTGATCTACAGGAGCAGATTTCATTTATAGTCTCATCACCACTAGTGTTACATTTTAAAATAAGTATAGAAGTAAGAAAACTAGATGAACCATTGTATATTTTGTCCCCCAGGAAAATACATGTGTATGTTTTTCCTCCTGTGTAGATCCAGCTGAGGATGAGATATGTGAACTGCCTGAAAATGAAGCAGGGATCATCTGGGACGCGATATGTTTTACTTTTCTGCTGATCCAACGCAGAGTGTTTACAAGCTATTATTACCTTTATATTGTAGCAGATCTCAAGGCTGCTGAGATTTTAGCCTCCAGGTATGTGCCGTGAATTCATGTAGTTCAAACAACTTTGTTCTCGGCTGCTGTGGAAGGAGACAAAGGCCATGGGCCAAAGTCTATGTAACCAGATTGACTGAGGCAATAGGCAACCTGGGTTGTGATGGGCTAGTCTGTAGACTGTTGCCTTGAAGTTACTGGGACAATGTGGCTGCTGGGTCCTTGTAACTATATCTCAAGCTATGTACTGTACTTACCATGACATCTGTGAGGAAGCATTATGAGAGGGATGACCCTTCTATTCCACTAGTCACTCAATCTGCACACTTTCTTCATTTGAAGTAGAGGTACCTAGAGCTGTGTGGTTTCTTTCCTTTTGGTGCAGAATAGGTCCCACATAATAGGTCCCACATTAGCCCAGCTGGCCCAAAATATTTTGCAGCATTATGCAAATAGCATTCTCCTCCATCCAGAATGGGAGATGAATACTGCCCCAAACCATGAAACTATTTTGACAGCTGAGGTAAAAAAAATTTTTTTGAGCAACTCTCTTAGTAGAAAAAAATGCAATAAAATATGTGAGTTGCTTCCTGGTGCCCTTACATCAGTGGTCTCCAACCTTGTGGGAGCTGAAGTCCAAGAACATCTGGAGGCCCAAGGTTGGGGACCACTGCCTTACATGATGCTCAAAATTTGCTGTCTGAAGCAGCTACCTCAGTTTTATTCATGGTAGGTCTGGATACAAACTGGGACATGATTTTCATAGTAACATTAGATTTTAAGGCAAATCTGTATACACACTGGGAAGCTGTGCAAATAAATAATGGTCCTTTCATAGTAAATTGCTGTGACCATAAGAGCACATCACTCTGTTTCAGCACAAATATTTTAAGGCTAAATCTTCTCCATTGTCTATAACCCTCCAGTGTGTTTGTTTTTGTAGATGTTTGGATCCTGACATGTTATTATAATACATAATTTTCATGTTTACAACTATGTTAACATTTTGAATTTCCTTCTAATAATTTAAAATTAATCTATTAAAGCCAGATGGGTAACTCATAAAATAAAATGCCTGCTTCCTTTCCAAGCCTGAGAGCATGTTTTCCTCTGGAGCAACTGATCAATTGGTTCAATGCTGACTGCAAATGGATTCACATCTTGAACTGTTTACTATTACATATTTACTGGAATGGCTTGATTTCTACAATCTGTTCCGACTGAAATCTTTTTGCTTGCCATTGAGGGGAGAGGCAACTTCTGGACTGGTGTTCGGGCTGCATTATCCTCCCTAAACCCACTTGGGGACATATGCTATCTTTGTTAGTTTTATTTATTTATTCATTAGTTTTATTTATATGCCGCATTTCTCCCAACAAGAGACCCTAAGCGGCAAACCTTCATTGCTATATCCCTAGATCTCCCGGGGTGCTGTTGAATTTTGGTGATCTAGCAGCAATGTTGAAACCCCAAGCAATAGCCCTTTAAAGTTAAGTGTGTGGGAATGGCATACCTTTCTTTGAGAGGGAAGTGCTTAAAGTTTTGCTGACAGGACCGAAGCAAAGGGGGTAGCTGTGGAGTTGTAGGAAGAGGCAGAGAGGGCACAGATTGCCCACAGTGACCTATAGTCAGGCATGCTCAGGACTGAAAATGTAGAAAGAGGGGATAATGCAATGAAGGTGTGGGGGCAAACATGCATGGTGTGCATTTCCTTCCTGACTGAAGGCTGCAAATAATCTATGTATAAGCCCAGTTGAACTCAGCAGAGCTTTCTGTAAAGTAAATGTACATAGAATTTTGTGTGTTTGCTTCTTTTAAAGTATTTACATTCCATGTTTGAAAGTGCTTATCAACACAGTATACAATGAATGGTTCTAAAACCTATAAAGTAGGAACACAGGGGCATCAGGCCTAGTTTAAAGCAGAGGTGTTATTCAGTCATCAAAGTCAATTATGAAATGTCTTCTGGAAGGGAAACGTTTCCAGCTTGCACTTAAGAAGGAAAAAGAAGGAAGCTCTCTTTTTTGGGGGGATTTCCCCAGAGATTCAGTTCCATAGGTGTGGTGCCAGAGCTAAGAAGGCTCTGTGGTTGCTAATAATTCTGGGATTCTGGTCTAGATGGTCCTTGGTGAGAATGAGGTATTGCGAAACTTCTGAAAGGCTGTTCTCATCTGCCTTGCACACACAGAGGAGCTGAGCTGTTTGAAGTAAAACTGAAGAAAATGGTGGCTTTGAGGCTAGAAGAAGAGAGAAAATCAATGGAAGCCATGAAGAGGCAGTAAGTTATCTCATCCTGAGGACTGTGGAACTATTTACAAAGGAGTGGTTGGGAAGGCGAAATATTTCCTGTTGTACTCAATAGAGCAACTGGGTGAAGATGGGTAGGACTGGGCTGTAACAGATAAATCTGCTGAAGTTCGTAATGTTCTTTGACAATATGAAATTTAGCAGCTTTGATGCATATCTTTGATCGGAGATAAGCATTATGACCCAGTTAATTCTCCTCCCAGATGCCCTCACATACTGTAGCTTCCTGAGTATTTGTTAATTTAGCAGCTTTGATGCATATCTTTGATCAGAGATAAGCATTATCTACCCATACTGTAGCTTCCTGAGTATTTGTTACTGTTGAGTCGTTTAGTCATGTCCGACTCTTTGTAAGAGTCCAGAGCACGCCAGGCCCTCCTGTCTTCCACTGCCTCCCGGAGTTGGGTCAAATTCATGTTGGTTGCTTCGATGACACTGTCCAACCATCTCGTCCTCTGTCGTCCCCTTCTCCTCTTGCCTTCACACTTTCCCAACATCAGGGTCTTTTCCAGGGAGTTTTCTCTTCTCATGAGATGGCCAAAGTACTGGCGCCTCAGCTTCAGGATCTGTCCTTCCAGTGAGCACTCAGGGTTGATTTCCTTAAAAATGGATAGGTTTGTTCTCTTTGCAGTCTAGGGGACTCTAATCCATACAAAAGATGTGTGAAACCTGGAAGAGCTGTATTCTCCAGGTCCTTGGCACATGGGGTGTAGTGTTCCAGCAGGTATTAGGTATGGAGGCAGGCTGACAATAAAACATCTCTGTTGCTTCTGCTGCCGCTCCCAAGGCAAGTATAAAGGAAGGTATCAGTGGGACTGGTTGCTGAGGCTGAGGTCCTGTGGGGACAGTCAACAAAGTTATTCAGCCAGGACCTCATCTTGTGAAGGGACACACCTCAGCCAAGGGTGTATGACTGTATTGGAAGTGTTAGCTAATTGAGCCGAAATGCCTAAAGATAAAGCTAAATACAATTATACTGTCATGCATTCTACAAACAAACAAACAAAAAATACACACCATTCTTCATGCTAAAATATTTCTACCCCTAAACAATTGTTTTTACAATGTGAAATGGCCCGGGCCTCATCAGAGCTCTTGGAGGTCCCGCAGGGGCTTAGGAGAAGATGCCAAGACCTCAGCATGCTCTCAGTTATATCATCAGAAACACAAAAAGGTCATATCTGGCTTCGGTAGTTTTCTGATCAGAGGGAAGAAGCAGCTTGAGTTGACAAGTCTAATTCTACATTGAGCGTGGGTTTCACCGGACGCTCCCCGTGAACATTAACTGTAAACAGGCTGTTGTAATGAGGATTCTAAAATCTTTGCAAGTTTCTTTGGATTGAATACAGTTTCTATTGTTCTCTTGTGAATCTGTAGAATGGATCTGATCAAACCCAAGACAAAAAGTCTTGACGGCTTGGAGAAAGGCATTTCAAAAGCAGAGAGTGTGCAGAAATCTGAACGAAATGGGGAGGATCGAGGTGAGAATCGGAGTTCTTATTTTTAAATGGCCTATACATGGCAACCATATTTTTTTTAAAAAAAAAATATATGAATTCAGGTGAGTAGAAATTTAGACACAACGTGAAGTTAGGTTGCACAGATATCTGTACAGGTGACATGAACTGCTGCCAGTTTGGACACAACTGTTGTTTAAAGCTTATTCACCCTTGCAAAAAAGAAGAGTGGAGAATTAGCAATTTTAGCAGCAGAAGGTAGGTCTTAAGTCATTTCTCCCCCCAAAATGATGTCTACAAACAAACAAAATAACAACAAACCCCCACACCTTTCTCTTGATACTGCTTTTCCTTAGGGTTTTAAGTATACATACATGCTCATAATACATAATTTGGCCCGCAGAGGGAAGATATGAAAAGAACCTTGTTCTGTAACTCATGTCAGAAACAGATGTTTGAGACAGTCCATAATTAGAGCTGAAATCACATTGATATTGCCAAGAGGAGGCTCGGGCTGCAACTACGCAGTCAGATAGTGCGAGATTTGATTCAGATGTAAAATAGATGAATTTATGCATTTTTAAACTGATCATATGATGCAAAGGCCAATTCAAACTAGTTCAGCCCTTTTTGCTCTTGACATGGAATTTTTTTCTTCTGCTACTGGGGGCTTCTAGTTATTTCAAGCCAGAATAACTTGAATGGGCTTTTCCCTGCGTCCTCGGTGGTTTCATTCTCCAAAAGGATTTGGTGGTGTTTGTGTGTGACTGTAAGTGGCATTCTGGTGATGTATGAACCTGAATGTGATATTTCAGACGGTGGGAAAACCCAGCCTCACAGTCTTTCTCCCTAGTCACTCCAAAGTACACGTTGTTTAGAAGACAAACTATTGAGTTTAGTGCTAGATCACCTTATTACTACATTGATATACTAGTGTAGTGCTAGATCACCACTGCATGGGCGAAAATTTAAAAAAGGTAAAAAAAATTTGGTATGAAATAGAAACAACTCTGATGAATATAGCAGACTACTATATTTCTGCACTATATGTTTATATGTTTGTATGTTATGGAGGACTTTGGAAAACTCGCCCTTTTCCCTAACACATTACAACACTTTAAACAGCTTATTGCCTTTACAATGAACCATAAAAGGACAGTGCATCAGACTGAGGGGCCAATATGGACACAGGCACTGAAACAATCTACAGTCTCCATGTGACCAAACAGAAGTGTCAAATAGCCTGCAAATCAATCAACAGCAAAGTGCAATCACTCCTATTCCACTTGCCAGTGTACTTGCAGCCTGAGGCAGCCTTTTCCTGTTTGTAAAAGGAAAATTTGTGATTAAATCCTGAAAATACAAATAATACAAGTCAATTTGCTGATCCTGGAGGTCAGGGAAGCTCCTGCGGCTGACACCCAAGATGTTCACGTTATTTATGGATTTCCCTCTTCCCTCCACACCACATCTTCTGACTTCAGATGGCTCAAAGTCTGGAGTACAAGTCATTTTGCAGTTGATATAAGGCAGATAAAGACACTGCTCATTTATTTTGAAGGTTTATACCCAATTTTCAATTACATGCTTCTTGAGGCTGCTTACAACACGTTGTAGTTATAAACAAACCAACACACCCCAAACCTTCTTTCACACACATCATATCAGCAGCCTTTAATCCATTAGTCAGAGTGACATGGATGCCAGGATTCCCTAGATAATCAAGGCTTGAAGACTGATTAATTATGGGAGGGTGCACAGTATCACTGTAAATTCTCCACCAAGAAAAGCTGAGTTCTGCACGCTATATAAATGTTCCAGCTTAGGAAGATCATTACATGTTCTCATCTTGTGTAATATATATCTCTTGACTAGTCCTGAGGAGTTTCAGTGAACTGAAGGCTTGCCTGCTGGCTACTGGAAATTCTACAGCATCTCTGTTCGCTTCTGTTATAACCCACATACTTTAAAGCCTGCCTTTATAACTATTTTTAAGAAATGCATGAATGCAGAAGCTGTCAGGATGTTGAATGCTCTGCACAATAAAACATGATCTGGCTTTTCTGCAGTTGTCTGGGAGAGAATATATTTCTTAAAGCCCTGTGTGGGAACCGGCTGCTGGCATCTTCTCTTTAGCTTTGGGTAGAATATCTGTTCCTACATTTCAATGTCTCTTCGTGAAGAACAAATGGGTGGCAGACCCCTTGTTTAGCCTTCTCTTCCTGAGTCACATATGATCACTATATATTTTCACTGCCAAGTCTGAATAATCTTTATTTTTTTTGCCAAGCAGGTTCTATGCTGTCTCTTGCAGAAGATGATGCTAGCATGAAGGGAAATGAAGGCAAGAAAACTTGGTGGCAACCATCAGTGACTCACACTTCAAGTACATTTCCTACATTTATATTGATCACTCATTCTTGGGTTAATCTTTGGTTGTTGTTTAATTACTGTAAAAATTTGGGGGGAAAATCCATTACTTCTATAGATTGACTTATTACACTTTTTGTCATCAAATGGACTCCTCTGACTAACTGGGCAACAGGTTACTCAAAAGTATTGTTTTTAATGCACTTGTGGGTGAGTAAGGCATTGATTTTCTCCATTGTTCTGGAGAAAGCTTTAGGGTGGGAAGGGAAGTTTTCATCAGTGTGACGTATGTGTAGAAAACCAAGAGATATTGATTTTTTACTTATTGGTGTAGAACTACTTTAGAATATGGGTTTTGTGCATGTGGCTCAGAGTTCCACAAGACCTTTTGATTTCTCAGCCATTTTTGCTTCCTCAATTGATTTTCAGTGATTCGAAGTGGAAACTATTCCCTTTTTGAGACAGACAGTGAGGATGAAGAGGAAGAAGTGCTCACACAAAAGAGTGAGGAGGAGTCCACAAAGAAAAAAACAGCATTCCAGGTGTGGTCCAGACGGGCAAAATAAGCTGCACCATATTTCTTCTATGAAAAGGGCTAAGGGAAGGAGCACAACAGGGGTGAAGTGCAGGGCTATGTGTATGTTATGTTTAAGGCACCAAGCAAAACCCTTTTATGTACTTAGGATTTTAGCCCTAACTCAGATTTTTCCAACCTGCTGCTCTTCAAATATTTCAACTACTCTACCCATCATCTCTGACACTAATGATTAGCCATGCTGGTAAGGTGGATGGGAGTTGTATTCCAAAAGCTCTGGGAGTGATCAATTTGGAAGCATGTGGTATAATAGATTGTAGCTTAAGGATAATATATCTGTAAGATGAAAAATAAGTCCTATAAATAGAAGACTGAAACTCAGAGGATAGCAGTGAAGGAACTAGAAAAGATCATCAAGTGTAAGAATGTGTCACGGGAGACCAAGATCATCCACACTCTTGTGTTTTGGGTCTCTGTGTGTGGGTGTGAAAGCGAGACAATTTTAAAAATGCAAAGAAAAGATCTGGTTGTTGTGGGTTTTTCGGGCTCTTTGGCCCCGTGTTCTGAAGGTTGTTCTTCCTGACCTTCCAGTCTCTGTGGCCGGCATCTTCATAGGACTGGAGTAGGAACTCTGTTCATGCTCTGTTGCTGTTTGTTGGATAGCTGAGTATTTATAGCTGTGGGAAACAGTTTTTGTCTTTTTTTCAGGAGATAGGGTGATCAGCATGTTTTTGTTGTGATAAGGGGGGGGAAGGGAGAGATTATCTGTCACTTTGGGCACCTCATGAGAGGCAGCAGGAAAAAAAGAAGACCAAGCAAAAGAGGGATTGACTCCATAAAAGAACTATGGGTTTGAGTTTGCAAGAGCTCGGCTGGGCTCTTAAGGACCCGTTATTTTGCAGATCCCTCACTCATAAGGTTGCTATATGTTGGAGGTGACTGGGACAGCATTACAATGACAACATCTCATTTTAAACTGTCTAGAGAAGGCTGGTATTCTATTTTGAAATAAATGATATTGGAAATGTGACCTAAGAAGGAACAGAAGTTGGAATGCGGGCGGAGAGTGGGGGGAGCATCGTTGGAAGTTCTTAAGTCTAAAGGACCCCCAAATGCACTACCATTTTAGAACTGCAGAGCTGGAAGCGGTCCTATGGATCATCAATTCCAGCCCCTGTGAAGGGGGCCCAGTGGGGAATCAAGCTCCTGAGATCTGACTCCACAGCCATAGGCTTGAACCCCTGAGCGATCCAGCAGTTACAGCTGCCTGCAGTTTTGTCCTATATTTTACATGCAGTTTTCTACTTAAAAGCTAGCAGAACTGAAGTCAAAAATACTTTGGTTGCTATTTCCTCTTTCTATATATAATATCGTTGCTGAATAAACCGTCTGTGCTTCATGCAGCTTGCCTACGAAGCCTGGATAACAAGTTCAAGATCAGCTCTAAAGATGAGAGAGCGAGATGAAACCAGGGACAGAATGAAGAAAGAAGCAGAGTGGAGGCCATGCCAAATGACAGGTAGTGGTAAGCAAATGCCTCCCACTTTGACCTAGTAATCACTGTTTTCCAGCATGAAAACAAACGAATACATTCTCTGCATATGGAAAGCTACAATACTTTTTATTTCCAAGCACAACATTGCATCTCCCCTAATAAATTCCCAAAAGCAAAGCTGGGGTCAACCCAAAATATAAGACTGAGCTTAAGGCTCTACTGCTCTTGTTCTCATGTTTTATTCTGTGTTTCAGCCGATGTACAAGTAAACTTCTCTGAAGAAAACCTGAAGATGTCAGCCCCTGGAAAGGACTTTGATGATTCAGGTGATTCATTCCCAGGAATCGCTGACAGAGGTACAGCATCACTTATAGCAGTGGTTCTTAACATGGGCAATAACGCCCCCCAGGGGGCGATTTCATTTTTCAGACGGGTGGTAGAACAAAAAGGGGCAGTGTGGGGGCAAAGGAACAAAAGGGGCGGTAGGGGGGCATTGGAACAAGCCAAACCTGTGAAGGCAGCTGCAGCCACAGTGCTGGCAGTGGATCCGGTGCTGCCGCCGCCAGACGATCCAGCTTTTTCTTCCTGCCATGTCTCGCCTTTCTCCCTTAGGGTAGCACCAAGTGTGGACTGGGTGGAAGGAAAGGGTCTCTCGGGTCCCTGTCCTTGCCCGGTGAAGTGCTGCCTCAACCAGGGTGAGCAGGGAGAGACGAGACCCATTTGTCCGTCCTGCCTTTCCGCCCACCTTCCCGCCCGTTGCAAGGGAAGCGTGGAGAGAAACGGGTTGGTTTGGGGTGGCGTGGCAGGATTTCTCGAGATGGGCTGGCTCGGGTCATTCTGGGTGGGTGGGGATTCGGCAGCTTTTCTGACTTTTCTTGTTGTTCTGTTGTGGCTGTCTGTCTGTCGGGGGGAAGAAAGTTCACCTGGCTGACTTTAAATGGCTTTGAGGGATGTCGGACTTGTAATTAAATAATTAAGGGTTACTGGTTTTTTTTTCGGCATTCAGTTTTATTTTCAGGGATCATTGGATTTAAGTGTCTAAATAAATAAATAAATAAATATCACCATGGGGAGAGGGGCAATGATAACTTCCTCAATGGCTCAAGGGGGCATTTCTTTCAAAAAGGTTAAGAACCAGTGACTTATAGAACCCCAACAACTTTAGGGTTCAACAAGCCCTAAAGTCAATTAATTATGATTGTCTTTTCTAGTATATCTCTGAACTTAAAGACAACATATTCCCTGTGCATTTTTTTAAAAAGTGCAGGACAGACTGCTGTGGAATAGAAGCTCAGTAATAGATGAATGTGTCTCAGGTAACAATCACTGATAAAAGAACAAGCTCGTCTCTCATTTCCATCCGTGAAATGTTGTGAAGTACATTTTTGTCAAGGGCAAAGGTAAAATGACACTTGCAATGCAAGATAAGCTGTCTTTAATTTTGAGAGAACATCTGAAGCTACCTGTAATGCTGACCACAAGGGACAGGGAATGTGACATCCCTAATGTGCAGGCACAATGCCTTGTAAATTCCTAAAGAAGTTATTTGGATCACACCTAACACATGCTTTCTTTGGCTAGAAGAAACTGCTACGCAAAGGATAGTCAACATTTTCAAATTCACTTGGGTATTTATCCAAGCACTGTTGGATGATACTACAGAAGCACTGAACTCCCTGTGTAAGGACAATCTGGGTGTAGCAGAAGTACTGAGAATGGAGAAATGTCTGCTTTGGAGAGAGATTAAGAAGGTAATTATCTCTGTGTTTGACTGCATTTCATACTGTAGGACAGCAAAATGGGATCAAAGTTCAAAGAGTAACATGGAGGCAGTTCTGGATCCCTTTCTTAAAAGTTCCAGTATTCAGGACTGTCTACCGAATTAGTATCCTGCTTACCTGCTTTGTGGTGGTCTATCTTCTAAAACAAACCACATGTTCAAGGCAGATGATTCGGAACATAACAATAGGGTTCCTATGGGTTGTTCAGAGACTAAAAGTACTTCAGATACATTGTTGTGATACTGAAAGCTGTGAGTAAAGTCAATCAGTCTGTGTTACTAACTCCATATGACTGGGAGGGTAACAGGAAGCATTTGTGAAGGCCACCCTATTATTTCATTTAGAGACAAGCATGAGAGCAGGAACCTCTTAATTCATAGCCTTCATATTATGATTGGTCTTAAAAATTATGGACAGTTTATTTTCTTTGGAAATCGCAGCCTATGGATAAGTGGTTTGGGTGAATTACCTAATTCTGCACTCAAATACAGCATCTGTTGTGTACAGATTTGGAACAGAGCATCCTGAAAGTTTTTGTTTTCAGTTCTTGCACTGCTGAATACAAGATTAAGGAGTAAACAGTATGCTACTTTTACATATAGGACTATAATTAGTCATCAGTCTCAACTAGGGTAAAATCCCATTGAAAGAATGAACATACATGTAATGTATGTCAACATGCATGTAAATAAGTGAATTGATTCAACAAGTCTACTTTAGCTGGGACTGATAATTGGATTTAGCCCATTCCCCTCAGTTTTTAGAATGCCTGTCTTTCCTGCTCCCCATTAAGCATGTAGGAGCCCAATCCTGATCAGGATCAAGATGAACGAAGGGTTTCTTCTTGCTTGTGAAAGCATGCAGCTAGGCTTTTAATTTTAAAAGGATCAGGGAAACTTCAGAAATACAACACCATTTGTTTTTCTAAAACTGTTACATCCCAACTAATTTTCTTCTGGATTTTCTCCTAAGGGAAAAGAGGTCTCAACAGATGTTGTCCTTCAGTATTATGATCTTGAGAAAAGTCAGCTACATTTTGGAGAAAGTGAGGCTGAAACAACAGAGGTCGAGGAAAGTAAAGATGATGTACCTGAATGCCCATTGATGGAGAACAGGAAGCCATCAGTTATGTGCCTCAGGTGAATAGTAACTGCCTACAGCAAGTTAGAAACACACATTATCATATACCAGTTCTTGCAGAGATCTTCCCTTGCATCAAGAGCACCATGGTGTTCTTTCCAGCCAGTGAAGTGAAGTGAAGAACAGAAGACTCCCTGGGAAAGACGCTGATGTTAGGAAAGTGTGAAGGCAAGAGGAGAAGGGGATGACAGAGGATGAGATGGTTGGACAGTGTCATCGAAGCTACCAACATGAATTTGACTCAACTCTGAGAGTCAGTGGAAGACAGGAGGGTCTGGCGTGCTCTGGTCCATGGGGTCACGAAGAGCCAGACACAACTAAACGACTAAACAACAACAACATTTGCATCAATGTGTAAGCCAGCCTTCCCTGATTTAGAACCCTCAAAACATGTTGGACTCCTATCATCTACCACTGATATAGCCAATTTTCTTATATTTTTTAAACAAGAACAAAACCAGGGGCTCTTTCTTTCACTTTCCAACGACAGCAGCATTGCACAAACCTTTGGACCAGGGCTAGGCTCTCCAGATGTTTAAGTGTCATCTGGCAGAAGTCCCAACCCACCGTGGCCTTTGGTAAGGAACGGTGAGAATTTTAGTCTAACTGAAGGGCTAAAGGTTTGTATCCCGTGCACGTCTCTGGATCAATGAATGAGAAGAGATTGTTGAAGCATGATAGTCCCAGTTACAAAGCGACTGATTAAACTGAGATGAGAAGCCTCTGTCCCTCCTATCAGACTGGATTCCACTTCTATCAACCCTAGCTATCATGATCAGTGGTCAAGGATCATGGGAACTGTAGTCCTACAATAATGAAAAGGCTAAAGCTTTCCTGCCACTGGTTTCAACAATCTGTGGAGGAAAGACCTTTGATACAAGCAGCTAAGGAGCTGTGTTGCAGAACATTTTTGGTGAAAAAGCCAGTGCAGCTAGAATATTCTAGAAGTAGACAACAGCACATCTAAAACATGCTTGACAGAGGGCTTGTTTGTCATAGTATGGGCTTTCTTATTTCCCTATTTTGTAAATTAACTAACTTTGTTCGGTGGTTTGTCATCAGGAGGTAAATATGGGGTTTTTCTTTCTGCAAGTATGATTGCTCAGGCATACCCTGTGGAATTGCTGTTTAGTGTCCAATCTGACCCTCCTTTTGCTATGGAGGGTCAAACTTGTTTTAAGAAGAATGCATATTTCATCCATTTAATCCATTTTCCCTTCTGCAGTGGGTTTGCATATACACCCTGTTTCCCTGAAAATAAGATCTAACCCAGGGAAACAGGGTATTGCAATCAGATTTGTAAATTAAACCTGTGTTTACAATTCTAGTGACAAATCATGGAAGAAAGCATTAAAATGCAAGATACCCAGATACGGAATATCACATGTTATGACAAATGTGTCCTTGAGGGAGTTCCTCTTCTAAAAATGGGCTAAATGTGTTCTCTACTTTGACAGTGACTTAAAGGTTTCACAAAGGTCTTATTTTTATGTCCTGAGGAACAGGAGATCCAGGGGACCGGCTAAGGATGCAGCGGGATGTGAGAAAGAAGAAGAAGGAAACCATACAGATGCCGGTTCCCAAGAGTTCATACCAAGCTCTTCTCATGTCGAATTTGCCAGCCTGGGAAACTTTTCTTTAGAAATGGAAGAATCTGTGGATTCCTTGTTTGCTAGGAGTAAACAAATAGACAGGCCACTGAGCAAAGTTCCCGCTTCGATGACAGCCAGTGAGCTTCTTCTGAACAGGCAAGATTTATTAAGCATCTGTTAATACTGCATTCTGCCTTGTGCATGGCTCTTGTCTTGTAAGCTGCTCGTCATGACTGAGAAGGTTCAAGACTGCCTCCGACCATGTGTTCCAAGATGCATGGTAGAAAAATCTGCTAGGAACACTCTCTTAAATCGATTGTTACCAGATAAGCATGGCCAAGTAAAAACAAATCAAAAGGAAGTGTTTTTTGGTGGAAGTGCTGAATCCTCTGAATTCACAAACTCATCAAGCCGCCTAGAAATGACATGAGATGATTTATGTCCCTAAATAAAGTGTTTTTGGGACACAAGGGAGAATGTTCTTTGACTCATCCCTTGCTTGTGTGTCAGTCAAAAGGTTTTGGTTGGCCCTTTGTGAACAGAATGTGGATTAAAATAGGTCCTTGATCTGATGCAGCATAGCTTTCCTTACGATATTATTCTAGCTAGTTTATGATGGCTGTTGACTAGGCAAGGAGTAAATATCCACTAGGCTGTGAGGCATATTCTGCTCTTATAAACCCTTCATATGACCCAGGAGGACTTTACTTTCATTCCTCTAATCCCATGCCAGAACATTTGACTCGCTCTGTTGCATGCTTTTAAATTTGTTTTGAATTTGTGCTTCTGAAATCACATGGTTTTTTAAATAGCTAAGTAAACATTTTGGGGGTGGTGGTTTCAATTTACTTTTATTTACATAACCATAGACTGCATTTTGTTCCAATCAATATGCTTTCTAAATATGCTTCTAGAACACACAAGCTGGTGGATAAACTGATCATACCTAATCTACATTTCTTTTTTTTGTTTGTTTGTTTTTAAAACTGTGGTCCAGGACTTTTCATGATAATGAGCTGGAGCAGTCAGCTAAATTTTACCAGCGCCTTCCTCGCCTTCTGAAGCTGGGAATTGCTTTATACAATGTTATGGAGTCTAAATCAGAAATGCTGTGTTATTTTGTCATCATTCTAAATCACATGGCTTCTGCTTCCATTCTCTCTTTGGTTTTTCCTATCCTGATATTTCTGTGGGCCATGTTGTCCATTCCAAGACCTACAAAGTTCTTCTGGATGTCAGCTATCATTTACACTGAGGTGGGAGTTCACAGATGCTATTTTAAAAACCGAGTCATCCTTTTCTTGAAGCATGCTGTTCTCTCTCTAGTCTTTCTCCCATGCAGTAGAGTAGCACAGAATAGAGAGGTACTGAGCCTCTAACTTGAAGGTCTTCCTCTAGTGAGCAACTGCTGGCAATGACTGGGAATGGGAATATTAGGAGAAGATGCCAGTAAGGTCTAGCACATGAAGGAGACAAATAAATCTCACTCCACTCCTCATCTGCAACACAGACCTTGGGATAAATGATGACTGTGCATGTATCTACATAGTCATAATAGTTTATACCCCTTAACCTGCTGTGACTCCATCCTATAGATCCTGAGATTTGTAGTTTGATGAAAAGTTAAGGATTCTCTGCTGTAATTCAGAGGAGCATGCTAAAGGTCACTTGCAGAGATTTCTAAATGTTTCAACAAATTATAAGGGTGGAGCCACGGTAAGAGCCAGAGTTTCTGCGTCCCTGCTAATGATGGCAGGGAATAAGTTTACTTTCTGGTCATCATGCATGCACTGGGTATAATCAGTAGGAAAATATGTATCACAACAGAATCTTGCAAAGGAAAATGCTGAGCATGTTATCAAAACCTCATACAATTTTCGTAGGTTTTCTTCTTTCGAGAAGAAAATCATTAAGTCAACAGCAGAAAAGCAAGAGGGAAATTTCATGAGATAAGAAGTGTGCTCAGCTTGAGCATTCCTAGAGTTATGCATGTGATATCTAGGATGTCTGGGAATTCTTCCTTGATTCAGTAAGACAATCTGTTTATGGGTTTTTTTTTCTCCCTTGGCAGATAACAGTTGTGATCAAATCCTTTTTTCAATTTGGATTCTTTCCTTGGACTACCGAAATATACCGTGGTATCAATGCAGAAGAACCGTTTGTTTTGCCAAATATGGCTGGGGTTGAGAAGAAGGATGGCTATGTACATTATGATCTGGTACAGCTGCTGGCCTTGTTCTTCCATCGGTATACGTTGAAGGTAACACAGTCCATTCTACAGAAACTGGAAAGAAAGGGAAAGCTAAAGAGCTATTTTAGTGTGTGGATGTGCTCATGGTTATTATAGAGCGGGTATGAAAGAGTATCAGTGGAGCTGTGCTGAATCAGATCAAGGGGGGACACTACAGTCATCCAGTCATCTATGCCAAGCCCACAAATGGGACAGAATTACAACAGCACTCAACTGTTATTTTACCCAGTAATAAGATCCAGTGTGGTGCAGTGCACAGAGTGTCAAATTAGAACTCAGGAGATTTGGGTTCAAATCTCTGCTTGGGCATGGTAATCCATTGGAGAGTGGCAAGGGTAAACCACTGCTTGAACATCTGGTATGCCTCAAATACTCCAGTACCATTGCATAAATCAGAAGCGACTCCAATAAAAACACATCATTATTGTTCCCAAGCAACTGGAAGTAAAATATAGCTAACAGGTCTTAGAGGCATTGGACATCCTTTATCTTCCATGAATCTGTGTAATCCCCTTGCTAACCCATCCAGACTGGATAGGCTACATGCAGGAGCAAATTCCATTACATGGTTCTGTTATCATATATTCCATTTAGGATGAGATGTTTAAATATTTTGGGACAGTTTCTTGTATATAACGTCTGAATGTAAGCTATACTAAAAGACAGAATTTATTGTGTTTGAAACAGGTGCTTATAAGTAAAAGTGGTCCTTATATAGACAGGCATTTGAACTAGTGAGATACAGCTCATTGATCGAGGCAATTGAAGCTGCCTTTGAGGTTTTGAAGTACTCAAGCTCTTCACAAACAATTCCTGTGTTTACTAAAACTAACAATTAGATTAGGTAACCTTCAATCTCGAGAGTCTATGGTAATGTGCTCTGAATAGAGGACTTGAAACAGCGTCTAGTGTGGCTGAAGAGGCCAATTCGCAAGTGACAATCCCTTCCACACTGAAGACAAATACAATCTGTCCCCTGTCCAGCTCCCTGATTTTGCTGGTTTCGGGACTGCCTTTTTGCCTCGGCCTGCTGGCCAAGGGTCTCTTCAAAATGGCAGAGGCCATGCTGCACCACCTGCTTCCAGGCTGAATGCTCAGACGTCAAGGTTTCCCATCTGTTGAGGTCTATTCCTAAGGCCCTCAGATCCCGCTTGCAGATATCCTTGTATCGCAGCTGTGGTCTCCCTCTGGGGCGATTTCCCTGCACTAATTCTCCATACAGGAGATCTTTTGGAATCCGACCATCAGCCATTCTCATGAACATTCTCAAAACTAACAATGCTAATATAATTTTTGCCCTGATTGTATATTCAGATAAAGTTCTTACTTAGCCAGGAGAATTCAGGGTTTGAAAAAACAAACTACAGTGGGACCCCTGTATCTGCTGTTTCACTTACCTGTGATCTAAAAATATCAAAAGGAAAAAAGAGACAGAAATATGTATTTCTGCGATGTATTTACCAGAACTGTCCACTAGAAAGAGCCAGATACCATGCTATGTTTTGCTATTATCCATGGTTTTTGAATCCATGGAGGGGACTTGGAACTGGACCCCCGTGAATACAGGAATCCTACTGTATCTGGAAGCCATCCAAAACAAAGTTGCCATAGTATTACTTGGTTTACCACACTCTACTCTAGCAACTTGTATTATGGATGAGACTATTTTAGTACAGTTTTATGTCTTTGCAGCTCTGTTTGTTTATTGTTTTAGACTTTCGAAGATGGAAGCTTTAAAAACAATGTTTGTTAACAAATAAAATATCATAGATTAGCTGGGCAACTAAAGGTGAACAGCAAATATAGGGTCCTCTCCTGAACAACCTGGAGTGTTAGATCAAGAGTTGATTATTTGCTGTCTGGCTGTGATATTTTAGGACAAGGCACCTGAAGCTGCTGTATATATCAACATATTTGTGACACCCGGAGTTACAAGATTTGCAGCACTGCCCAAAAGCTGAGGAGAAACTTTATTGAGACAAATAACGTGAATAGTAGTGATGTAGTTTCATGGTCTGAATGTGTAAGATGACTTTGCTGTTGTTTTAAGTAAAATTTTATGTATCACCTTTTTATTTCTACTTCTGTTTCTTTAACGTTTGTGGTGCTTTTAAAGACTTAAACCAAAGATACGTTTTGAACCTCTGGCAAAATTATGGTTTTGTGGTTTTCGTGTTAAGGAGGCTGTCTCGCTGTTTTTGTTGTTTTGTTTCTGTTTTCAGAATCAGTGTGCATATTTTATTTATATACAGTATTTAAAATATTCTGTCCCACTTTTCTCCTTGAAAAGGACGCAAGGTGGCTCACCATATTGAAAGAGAATATTTAAAGTTGAAAACAATGAGGATACAAGGGTGGTTAACATCATTAAAAGACAATATTAAAGCTAAGAACAGTAAGTGTGCAAAGTTGTAGCTGTTACAACCATGATGGTCTACCTAGTTGGTCATAGATGCCTGCATGGAGAATTCAACTGATGGTTTTTGAGGAGCTGGACCTCAATCTAAGCATAACCGTTCTGTTGCTCTGTCTTTCATTCTCTTTGGCATTTGAAATCAGTTTATGGCCCTCATGGTTGACTGGAATGTCAAATGACTTTCACTGTGTTGTGTTCCACAGTGCTATGGGCTCTGGGATTCCAAAAACATCAACATTCTGGACTCCGAGGAGAAGAACATTACAGAGAGACCAAAGAAGACAAGATGCAGAAGCCACTTCAAAGAACATCAGCTGGAATCAGGAATGTGGCATCTTTTTAGATCTCACCATCAGAGGGGGAATATTTTCAAAAGAGTTAATGAAGGTAGAGAGAGAGTGGGTGTGTGGGTGAGTGGGTGTGGGTGTGTGGGTGATTGTCCTGCTCTTGAGTGAAGGGAAGAGAGGCAAGCATGCATTTTTGCAGTGTATGAAAGGAGACGTGGTGTCCAGACATGAAGTGTGTCCTGACCACTAAAAGAAGGAGAAAGGGTGGATTCAGGGAGCTGGCTGTGGTGGCTGAAGTACGAGAAAAGCTGGACATGTGGACGTCTGCTGAAGAGGTTGCCATGCCATAGATAAGACTGAGATTTTTGGGGAATCGCTATTGAAGGGGACAGAGGAATTGTAAGGAGACTCATAAGACCTAGTCTATACGATAATTTGAAGTGGGAACAGTCTGTGAGGCAGACAACATCAGCACAAAGTATCTTCATTTTCTTGAGCTTTGGCATCGCATCAGGACCCTTCCTTGATTCTTCCCCTCCTTCAAGCAACTTGTGCACCTCTTCTAGCTTGAGGTTGAATTATTCCCCAATGCCCTGAACATATTGTGGCTCCAGGGAAATATAGGAGAGTAAAATGCAGGTCTGGGAGCCATAATTTTTGATTTCTCACCAGGTCACCCGGTGTTGTCTTAAGACATTGTTATCTGCTATTGTTGCTTCTGACTGATGGCAACCCTATGATCCAGTGGCGCCCGAAGGATTCTATCCTTATCAGTCCTGTTCGGGTTTTGCAGAGTCAAAGTCCATCCATCTCCACTTTAATCTTCCTCTTTTAGTGCTGCCTTCAGCTTTTCCAAGTCTTTTGTCTACTCATGAGGTGCTTAGGCTTGATCCAGTCTAGGACCCACTTCCTTTCTGACAGTCCATGGTATCCACAAAGTTTTCCTCCAACATCGTATTTGAATTCTCTACTGTCATTTTTCTTTGCTGTGTAGATTGTGCAATTTGTGCCTACTGACATGGCTTTCAGCCAGGCCATCCTCAATTTCAGTCTTTGTCCTCACATGGGTTCAGTGCTACGCCGATAGGGACCACACAGAGATAGGGCTGAGAAGCCTGACCACAGAAATAAAAAGACGCCATTTGCCGGCATTGGGTACCCTGCCAGTAGGAACATTCACAGAGGGGAGGCAATAAAGGACCGTGATGGTAGTGGATGTGGCAGGGATGATGTTGGAGGTGATGAGAGTGGTGACAATGTCAGTTTGTTTTTTGTTTGCTTGTTTTTTAAAAAAATCATTTTATTCATATCTAAAGAATACAAACTTAAAAACATTAACAATCTAAACAATAATTAACAGAACAAACAGACAGAGAACAAACAACAACAATAAAAAACACATCTAAGCATCCTTCCTTCCCTTATGGATCGGAGATTTCACTGTCGTCTGGTCATCAACATATGCACAAGTGGATTCCGGTGAGCATTAGTTCATTATAAACTAATTTCCCCCCTAAGTTCCTTTCCTTTTCTGGGCCCAGTTATGTACAGTATCAGCTTCCAACTTCGCTTTGCAAAGTCTCTTGGTTGATCCCGCAGTGCCTCTGAAAGCGTGTCAAGTTCTGCAATGTCCAATAGCGTCTTTAATAACTCATCCACTGTTGGTATCTCTACATTCTTCCATTTTGGGGCCCAGAGTAACCTAGCTGCTGTGAGTATATATAGTAGACTAGATTTTATTTTTTTGTCACTAATTTCTGGCATTATATTCAATAACAACATTTCAGGTTTAAAAATTAATTTTTGTTGAACAATCTCTTTTACTGTATCCATTTTGTTTTGCTTTTTTTGCATAACCACCACATATGATAATAATGGATTTTTTTTTTTTTACCCTTCCAACAAACATTACTGTTACCTTTTGACATTTTTGCCAACCTTACAGGGGTGTCTGTTGATTTGAGTCAACACCAGCTGCCTGGACATTTGTGTTTTGTGGGTTGGTGTTCCATGGTAAGGCATTGTGGAAGGAGTGGTTGCTCACACTGGCTTAGCACTGAAGATGGAGCTGCTGCAATTCAAAACAAGCTGCCGGAGAAACCACTTCCGCAGCCAGCATGGTTTTCCTCCTTTCCCCTGTCATCCTTTCTCTTGTAAGCATTCTAGTGTGCTGTCAGGAGCTGCAGGGTCTAGACAATGGTGGATGGCAAGCAGAATAAAAGGGCAGGAAGGACAGAATGCAAGACTTCGACATTTATTTTAAAATTTGTATACAGCTCGATGTAGTGTGAAACGTTATTCTTGGGTGGTTGACCATAATGTAAATAACCATCATAAAAGGTAAAGTTTCCCCTTGACATTTAGTCCAGTCGTGTTGGACTCTAGGGGGCGGTGCTCATCCCCGTCTCCAAGCCGTAGAGCCAGCATTTGTCCGAATACAGTTTCCGTGGTCACGTGGCCAGCGTGACTAGACACGGAACGCCATGACCTTCCCATCGTGATGGTGCCTATTTATCTACTCACATTTACATGCTTTTGAACTGCGAGGTTGGCAGGAGCTGGGACAAGCAACAGGAGCTCACTTTGTCGTGTGGATTCGATCTTACAACTGCTGGTCTTCTGACCTTGCAGCACAGAGGCTTCTGCGGTTTAAACCGCAGCAGCACCACCACGTCCCTTAAATAACCATCATACCTAACTGCTAACTCCATCTACATTCCCACCATCCTGGTCAAATTTAACATAATCCGACATCTCCTAAATAAGTACATTGTTGGCTGACAGAGAAACTGTACTCCTAATTAATGCAGGAGGAGGATCTCTCTGAAGAGAGATCTTTGAAGCTCGCCTGAAGAGATTAGTCTTTAAAAGCTTCTTGAAGTCTAGGAGGACGGCGGCCTGATGGATCTCTATAGGACGGCTGTTCCAGAGATGAGAAGACTCGGTTCTTCATGGACACCTGCTTTGCATCTCTTGGAATAACCCCCATACCATAGGGACAGGCCTGGGTGGCTCAGATGGCATGGAAAATGTGACGTAGTAGTTTTTTGATTAGCACATTTTTGTATTTTTATATATAATATACAAAGTGAGTGATCATTTCTGTAAATATTATCAAATTTCTTAACATCTTTAATTTTAAATTTGTACTATAATGTAAAGTGAAAAACTGATTCTATTTATGGTTTAAAATCATGTAAATAGTTAAAGAAGTGAGAAATGAGCAGTCACAGAGGAAGAAGAATGTGATAAGCAGCAGCTTAGCATGGTTTTAAATTTGTTTCACATTGTTTATTAATTATAGTGCTGTTTTATATAAAGATGTACGGTGTCGTTATCAACAACAGAAATAGTTATTTTTCACATTTTTTTGTATTTAGTAAACTGTATAATATGGAAGGCACAGGTGAAATCGGAGAGATTTTAAGCATTAGGATTCATTAATTTAATTAAATTATACCCAACCATTTTTCCAAATGTGGGTGCTACTGCACAAGGTGGTCACCTCTTCCCTATCTCTGCACCAGGGTAATATGGTAATTATGTCTCTGTTTGTTTGTATTGATTTTGATTTGCCGTTCAGATTTTTTTTTATTCTGGGTTTTTAATGTTTCTTGGTTCACTGTTTATGTCTTTCTGGGTGATATTGGGTTGTGATATTTTAATGGTTGTTAGCCACCCAGAGTAGCACCCCAGCACTAGATGGGCGAGATATAAATACTATAAATGGACAGATGGATGGTTGGATATTAGGTTAAATTAGTACATGCAAATATAATGCAAAATTCCAACCTTTATGGTGATGGATGTTCTGCTTTTTGGCAATTCTTGTCCACCAAAGTCCTCTTTTTTGGTGATGCCTCTCTTTCTGGGGATGCAGCAATGGTCATCCTAGTAATTGTTGGCTGACAGAGAAACTGTACTCCTAGTTAATGCAGGAGGAGGATCTCTCTGGGGATGCAGCAATGGTCACCCTAGTACCCAGCAATTGGGATTACCATAGTGTGGTTGATCTTGGCCTTGATCTCCAATGTCCGGTCTTCTTGCACTTAAGAATATCTTCTAGTTCCTTTATACCAGTCCTTCCAAGTCTACGTTTTCTTCTGATTTCTTGACTGCAGTCTCCATTTGGATTGATGATTCAGCCAAGGTATACAAAATCTTTAACCATTTCAATATGTTCACTGTCAGCATTAAAGTTGTGTAGTTCTCCTGTACTCGTGATGTTGACTTCTTAATGTTCAAATATAGGCCTGCTTTTGCACTTTTTCTTTCACCTCTGTAGGAGTTGTTTTAATGTCATTTCTGCCAGTAATATACTATCATCTGCGTATCTTAAATTATTATTGTTTCTTCCACTAGTTTTCAGTTCTCTTTCCTCGTAATCTGATCCAGCTTTGTGTAAGATCTGTTCTGTTCTGCACATAAATTGATGAAAAAAGGACATAAACTACATCCTTATCTGACATCTTTGCATAGAAAGGCAAAGACTTTCTTTCTCTGTCTTTCCCCCTAACAGTAGCGTCTTGTCCAGAATATAGGTTATGCATCAGGACAATCAGATGTTTGGCACATCAGTTTCTTTCAAAACAATCCATGGTTTTTAATGTTGTAAACAATCATTGGCTTTGTCCTACTTTGGGCACATCACAAGAAGGCAGGATTATTTGGAAAAAGACATTACTTATGAGAAAAACAGCAGGAAAACAGGAAGACCAAATATGAGATAGACTGACTCCACAGTAGAGATGGCATGAAGCACTTCCTGCTGTGTTGTCTAAATCGTTGGTGCAGCATCACAGGTGCCACCTGTTCACTTGCCCCACTCCCACTCTGGCTGACTTCCCCACTGACCTGCCAGCACATGCTGTTCCTTCCCTCCCCATTGCACAGCCTTCCATTCTGGAAGGAGCACCAACTTCCCTTCTCCACCTTCTCCAGCAGCTGCCCACTGAGATGAGGAGGTGGGGCAGGATTTCCTGCAGTGTGGCCTGTGTGTGGGCAGCTGCTGGAGGAGGCGAAGAAGTGAAATCTTTGCTGCTCCTGGAATGGAAGATTGCACAACAGGGAGGGAAGGAGCAGTGCACTCTGGCAGGTCATTGGGGGATCCAGCCGGCTGGAGGGAGTGAACCATGCCAACAACTTAGAGAACATTTATTTTATTTTATTTTTATTTATTTGATTTATACCCCGCCCATCTGGCCTATAAGACCACTCTAGGCAGGTTCCAATAACATGGCATAAAGTGGTTTGTGCCCATCTCTACTCTACTTGAGTAGAGATGGGGGTATTCGTATTTGAATAAAGAGGTCTGGCCCCCTGGGGCCGGACTGTCCACTCACCCATCTGCTGCTACTGTGGGCTCCGCATTCCCTCTTATCTGGAGCTCATGGTTGACTAGCCACTCGTGGCAGAAGAAGGGAAGATGAGTCTCCCTGACAGGCAGATGAGTGGCTAGTCGACCATGAGCGATTGGAGCGAGCACGGAGCCTGCGGCAGCAGTGGATGGGTGAGTGGACAGTCCGGCCCCAGGATGCTGGACTCTCTTTATGTCCACCTGTGCGGGGGTATTTGTATACGAACACCCTCATCTCTAATCTTGAGTTTACAAGAGCTGAACAAGGCAGTTGAGGACAGGACATTTTGGAGTTCGCTCATGTGTGGGGTCACCATAAGTCAGAGGTGACAACAACATAAAGCACAGACTTTTCTTTTGAAATTCTTTGGTACATTCCAATAGCCAAAATGTTTCCAATATGATATTTTTCTTTTCTGAATCCAACTTGCACATCTGACATTTCTTGCTCCATGTATGGTGAAATTCTTTGGAACAAACTCTTGAGCACTACTTTACTTGCAAGGCAAATTAATGCACAGCCCCACAGTAACTGCACTCTTTGGTGTCTCCTTTCTTGGGAACTGGAATATAGGTAGAGTACTACGACTCTGTGGGCCAAGTCTCTTTTTCCATGTTTGTTAGTGTGTTCTTGTTAGGAATTTGATAGATTCAGTCCCTGAAGCTGGAGACACTATGACAATTTAAAATGAGCTGTCCACTGTCACTTCTGGAAGCCAGCTAGTGATGACTGGAGCATGGAGAACTGCACAGCCTGTTGTGATACAGGAAAAGTTGCACAAGAGGGCTGTTAGGCAAGGGCCCTTTTAAACCTGGCCTGGCTCTGTTGTGATGATGATGTATAGTACAGTAAGAAACACAAAAGCACTGAAAACATCAACAGGAGTGTGTACAAATGATCATCCCTAAAAAAAAACCTCATGTATATAAAAAATCTGGGTGTTCTTAGTTTTCTAGAGGTGTTAGAAGAAAGTGGTCACAGGTGACCTGTGTATATAATGTTGTTGTTGTTGTTGTTGTTGTTGTTGTTGTTGTTGTTGTTGTTGTTGTTGTCCCGCCTTTTGTGCCTTGTCTTCTTTCTTGCTGCCTGAATAGCTTGCATTGTTGTGACCTGCCTTCTTTGTTAAAACTTTGTTTACAATAAAATGTGGAGACTGGACCACCCTGTGTCAATTACATCATTCTGGTGCCAGGATTTTAAGAGAGCCTCCAGGGCAGGCATTGGCACAAGAAAGTCTATTTTAATATCATACCAAGGTCAACAGAAACGAGGCATGGAGAGCTGGCTGTGGATCATATGTCTGAGTGGGTGGTGGATGGAATGTCATATGTTTAGCGAATGGACCCCACATGAGATGGTGAGAGTTTAAAATGAGGTATTGCTCTTACAAAATGATAGAGCTGCGAGTCTTTCTTTTTTTGGCAGACAAACCTCTGGCAGAAGCCAAGAAGAAACAGAGCTGGTTCAGAAAAAAACCCACTGGCAGGAAGAGATTTACCAAGGAAACAATAAACCAGAAGATACTAAAGGCAAAGAAAATGCTGATTAAAATGTAAATAGAGTGTACAGTATTTTTATGTGTTTTTTTAAAACTTCAGTAAAGAAAGTGAGATATTGCAACTTGGAACAAGTTGAACCATATGCTTGAGAGTCAGGGAGCAGAGAGAAGCACTGTGGGGGAACTATGGATGGCATGGACAGAGCTTCCATTCCCTGTCTATGTGCCCATATATACATACAGAGGGATCCATAGTGCAAGTATGGGGAGCACCTCATCCTGCCATCCTTTAAGTAACTTGGTACTTTCATGGGGAGCACCTCATCCTGCCATCATTTAAGTAACTTGGTACTTTCCTAGTGTGTTAGCTTACAGCTCTTATTCAGCTAGCAAGGACATAGTGTCGTATGGCACTATATAGTGTCAGGTCTACTGTATGGCATGAACTCATGGACAACTGTTTTTCAAAAAAATAAAAGCTACTATTTTTGAAATGTGGGTTTGTTGCACGATGTTAGGCATCTCAAAAACTAAAACATTTTGTTCACAAAATGAGAAAAAAGTACATATTGTTGTTTAGTCATTAAAAAATTGTTTTTTTAGGATACATCCCTCTTGTTTTGTTAGTTTAAATGTAGTTGTACATATACCCAAGGAACAAACAAAAATAGTTTGGGACCTCCCCCTTGGCCTCCCCAAATGAACTGTTTGGCGCCTCCCCCTTGGCCTCCCCAAACGCACTCCCATGACACATTCCCTGTTTGCTCTCCTGTTTGCAAGCTCTGGTAGCGAGCTCCCTAGGTCTGCCTTGAGCTTTATTTGTTAGCTGTGCTCTGCCAGGAGTCAGGAATAAAAAAAGAGTCGTAGAGTCTTGACTATTCTTTGCAACTTGACCGATCTAGATTCATTTGTATCTTATGAGGAAAGGCTACAGCATTTGGGGCTCTTTAGTCTAGAGAAAAGGTGAGTGAGGGGGGGACATGACTGAGATGTATAAAATCATGCAGGGGATGGATAGAGGGAAGTTCTTTTCCCTCTCACGCAATACTAGAACTGGGGGACGTCCACTCCAATTGAGTGCTGGGAGAGTGAGAACAGACAAAAGAAAATATTTCTTTACCCAGCATGTTGTTAGTGTGTGGAACTCCTTGGCACAAGATGTGGTGATGGCATCTGGCCTAGATGTCTTGAAAGGGGGATTGGAAAGAATCCTGGAGGAAAAGTCCATTGCAGGTTACAAGCCATGATGGGGTGTGTGTGTATAATCTCCAGGATTAAAAGGAAGGTACCTCAAAATGCCAGATGGAGGGGGATCAGGAGATAAGTATCTAGCTGTCCCGTGTGCTCCCAGAGGCATCTGGTGGGGCTGCTGTGAGATACAAAAGCTAGACTTGATGGGCCCTTGGCCTGATCCAGCAGGACTCTTCTTATGTTCTTATGTTCTTATCTGCAGTGTTCTTCAGATTTACCAGCCCATCAAGCAATTCTTCTATGACATTATTCATCCAGAATGCAGCCCGGTCTGTGATGTTTATGCTCTCATGTTCCTAGTTGATGCCATTAATTTTATTATTGTCATCTTTGGCTACTGGGCCTTTGGTGTAAGTAATAGCATGCAACACATGGTATCTGATGCAAAAGCAGGATAGAACATTTTCCGTTTTGTCTGGAACCTCTGTTCCATAATTCCAGAATTACAATAGATGACTGTCATTCCCTTATGGCTAGGGGAAAAGACTTGTCACAGGCTCAAAAGCACATGACTGGACTTTTAAAGTTCTAGACTCAATGATAATTCAATTACAGGATGTTAGAGAGGGACGGATTTTGATGGTCCTCTATTCCAATACAGTGATGCCTCGACTTACGAACTTGATTGGTTCCGGAACTCCAGTCGTAACTCGAAATGGTTTTAAGTTGAAGCACCATTTCCCATAGGAATGCATTGAAATGCAATTAATCCATTCCGGCCAAAGAAAAAAATCACCAAAAAAAAGAGAAAAGAAAACCCTGCAAGACCCATCAGAAATGCAAAAAAAGCAAAGCAGAAAGCAAACATACTGTGCAAGACCCATCGGAAATGCAAAAAAAGCAAAGCAAATAGCAAACAAACCCCACAATACCCATCGGAAATGGCAAAGCAAAAAGCAAACAAACCCCACAATACCCATTGGAAATGGGGGGTACCAAAAAGCAACAAACTGTGCAAGACCCATTGGGGAGGAAATGGGGAAGGAAAAACCCAAAAACAAACAAAAACTGCAAGACCCATCCCAGCACAGAAACCCCCCACCCAAAACCACACTGCAAAACCCACCCAGAACAGTTTTTAAAAAGCAGAAAACAACACCTCATCTTACCAGGCAGTCCAAAGCCTCCTCTGATCACATTCACTCTAACGTTGGGGTGAAAGAGCTACAAAGACACAATCTCTTCGCCACCAATGGTTAGCAATTTGAATTCCCTGCCTTTTTCCCCTGCCTTTTTTCTGGTTGTAACTCAACCCTCTGGCCGCAAGTCAAAGCAAAATTTTGCAGCCGTAGCTGGTCGTAACTCAAAATGGTCGTATGTTGGGACGTTCGTAAGTCGAGGCACCACTGTAATTTGCTTAATGCAGGAATTATATAACCATAGCAATGTTCTACAAAATCTACTTATGATTTATACACTTCTAATTTTCCTCTCTGGTCAAAAGAAAGAGTTTGCTCCATCTTTTACACAATACCCTTTATGATATTTGAATGTGATCATGAGAGAAGAGACAATTCATCTGTCTGTGGCTTTTGTGTTCTGGTGCCCTTATTGGGAGAGAGGGGCAAGGGTATCTACTGGGATTCAGGTAATTCTTAAGTTCTGGCCTTAGTGGGGAGTGTGTTGCTTCCTAGCTTAGGGAGTGTTCAGTTGTTACTCTTAGGGTGAGTTTTAATTTCAAAGTTGTCATGGCTAATTACAGCTAATTGACAAGGTGTCAGGTGCTTGGCTGTAAGATCAGGTGAACGATCAGGCATGCGATTGACATGCAGCTGGGCTGGCACCTCATCAATTTGCTACGGTAATTTCTGCAGTTGTTCTTGCATGTACATAAATATCCTATAGGTTTTTGGAACTTGCTCTGAATTATTTTGAACTACTAAAACGTCCAAATTTATGGCTTCTTCCGGGACAATATATTCTTGGAGATACTGTACATGCCTATGTTTACCTTTCAGTGACAAATCACAAAGCAAAGCAAATGTGTGATGTAAAGACAATCAGAGCTGTGACAAAACAGCCATCTCTGAAGGTGGAATCTCTTGGCTATGCTAGGTCACAATCCTTAGGTACCCCATGATAAACTTGGAGATACTGTACATGCCTATGTTTACCTTTCAGTGACAAATCACAAAGAAAAGCAAATGTGTGATGTAAAGACAATCAGAGCTGTGACAAAACAGCCATCTCTGAAGGTGGAATCTCTTGGCTATGCTAGGTCACAATCCTTAGGTACCCCATGGAAAAAATAGAAGTAGCTTTGCAGTATTGACATGGACATGGACTCCAATCCAAACCTTAGGGCTGCTTCTATTCTTTATGCCCAATGTTGATTGATGAATGCTTCTTCTAACCAGAAACACTCAGCGGCTGCTGACATCACAGAATCCCTTTCAGAAGACCAGGTACCCCAAGCCTTCCTTGTGATGCTCTTGATACAGTTCGGGACAATGATCGTGGATCGGGCAATCTACCTGAGAAAGAACTTGTTTGGAAAGTGTGTCTTTCAGGTGGTTCTTGTCTTTGGCATTCATTTTTGGATGTTCTTCATCTTGCCTGGAGTAACAGAAAGGTATGACAGCATGTGATGTTGAATGGAGAGTAAGGGAAAAAATATTTTGCTCATCACCTAGCAGTGAACGAAGTCCCACATGGATGGTTCTTGAAGTCAGCCATTCCAGCACCCCAAAAAGTTCCCATAATTTGGTAGGTCTCCATGCTGATTGTTTGAAAATGACTAGGGGAGCAGCATGGAGATATAAGAACAACAGAGCCTAGAATTTGGTATCAGTCACATAGACACCGGAAATCTAGTCAGTTGACTAGATGAGCGGGGTATAAATGCAATAAATAAATAAATTAACTTTGTGAGGCAAACAACTCAGTTAATATAAATTTGTTTTCCTAATTTGTAAGTGCTGTAGATTTAGTTTGGTAAATTATTAAGGACTTGATGATGAGGAAGGAGTATAGATCATAGGTCGTGTCAGCCATTCCAGCACCCCAAAAAGTTCCCATAATTTGGTAGGTCTCCATGCTGATTGTTTGAAAATGACTAGGTGAGCAGCATGGAGATATAAGAACAACAGAGCCTAGAATTTGGTATCAGTCACATAGACACTGGAAATCTAGTCAGTTGACTAGATGAGCAGGGTATAAATGCAATAAATAAATAAATGAACTCTGTGAGGCAAACAACTCAGTTAATATAATGGTTTCTTTTCTAATTTGCAAGTGCTGTAGATTAAGTTTGGTAAATTATTAAGGACTTGATAATGAGGAAGGAGTATAGATCATAGGTCGGGGAA